CCAGTGGATGGGTGGATGGATGGATGGGTGGATGGATGGGTGGATGGATGGGTGGGTGGATGGATGGGTGGATGGATGGATGGATGGGTGGATGGATGGATGGGTGGATGGATGGATGGATGGATGGATGGGTGGATGGATGGATGGGTGAATGGATGAGTGGGTGAATGGAGGGATGGACAGACAGACAGATTAATAGATGGAGGCATGGATGAATGAATGAACACACAGTAATGATGGATGGATGGATTAATGGATTGATGGGTAGGTAGATGGATGGATGGATGGATATATAGACAGACAGATTAATAGATAGATGAAGACATGGATGGTTGAATGAATGCACAGGTAAGAATGGCTGGATGGATGGATAGATGGATGAATGCATGAACTAACAAGCAGATTAATGAATTGAAAGGTAGATGGATGGATGGATGAATGGATGGATAGATAGATTGACGGACTGATAGGTGCAGGCATGGATGGTTGGATGAATGCACAGGTAAGGGTGGATGGATATGTAGATGGATTAATAGATAGATGCAGGTATGGATGGATGGATGGATGTTGGATGAATTAACTGATAGAGTCATGAAGGGATGGGTAGGTGAATGGACAGAGAGATGGCAACGTGGATGGACGCACGGATGGGTGGATGGACAGACACACGGGTGGAGATGGGTGGAGGCACGAATGGGCGGACAATCAGGATGTGGATGCCCGGATGCAGCCTCAACATCTTACACCTTCTCAGCACTCCGAAAGCCTCTCTCAAGCCCCAGTCGGCCTCCACTGCTCCCTACACGCACCCTCCAATGTTCTTGACAAAACTGTCCATCTAAGTAATTACCCAGATCCTTTTTTTCCACGTGTTTCCCCCCAGCAGAATGTAAGCTCTAACCAGTGTCCTTGCCGTCACTCAACGACTATTGCTGAGACATCATCACACGCAAGGTGGAATTCTAGAGGCTAGGAATTCATCCGTGGGTGAAATAAAGACAGTTCTTGGCCTTTGCAGAGCCAAAATAAGAACCAGGCAGACCCAAGGTGGCGTGAAGAGCCTCAAAGTTCATTCCAGGCCTGACAGTCGGAATTCAAGCAGGTAAATGAGATCAGCACAGGGGTTCGTCCCAGCTCTGCCTCTTCATGCATTCAGTACTTATTGGACACTTACTGTGTGCCAGGGACTGGCCCAAGCACGGACGATACCGCAGTGAACAAGACAAACACAAATCCATGTCTCTGTGTGCCCTAAACAAGCCTATCACTCTTTTGCCCCAGGGCCTTTGCACATGCTGGTCCTTCTGCCTGGAACACTTTCTCTGAAGCCCTTTCTCTTGGCTAACTTTATACCTTAGCAATTGGTTTGGCCTCCCAGAAGTCATCCTGACCTGTTCCCAGGGTGGTCCAGGGGTTCCCTCGGGGTTCTCTGACTGCGTTGTGATTCTCCAATCCAAGCTTTTTATCTTATATTCATTTATTTATTGAGACAAGGCCTCACTCTGTTGCCCAGACTGGAATGTAGTGGCACCATCATGGCTCACTGGCCTTGAACTCCTGGACTCAAGCAATCCTCCCACCTCAGCCTCCCAAGTAGCTGAGACGACAATGTGAGAAACCGCACCTGGCGACCACTCAGTGTTGCAACTACTTGGTTACAGATCTGTCGTCCTCACTGGAGTTTCAAGAGAGCAGTGAGCCAGGCTCGGTGGCTCAGCCTGTAATCCTGCGCTTTGGGAGGCTGAGGTGAATGGATGGCCTGAGCCCGCGGGTTCGAGACCCACCCGGGCAACTTGGCCAGACCTCATCTCTACAATAAATCAAAAAATTAGCTGGACGTGGTAGCGCGCGCCTGTAGTTCCAGCTACTTGGAAGGCTGAGGCGGAAGGATTGCCAGAGCCCGGCAGGTTGAGGATGTGGCGACTGGGAGCGGCCACTGCACTCCAGTCTGGGCAACAGAGGGAGACTCCAACTCAAAAAAAAAAAAAGGGAGAGCAGTGACCATGCCGAGATTGTTTCTGTCTCCTTGGCAACCCACAGAATGCCCAGCACAGAGCAGGTACTCAATAACTAAACGTATGCTGTGTCACTGTAAGCCCTCCCTGTGTCCCTTCCTCCTCTCCAGCCAGGAGAGACCTCCATGGGGCCACACCCCATCTTCCCACAATTCCGGTGCAGGTCACCCTCCTTGCCCCTGCCCCGGCTGCCTTACCCGGCCGTAGATCTCTCCCCGCCACCAGCCTTGCTGTCCCTTCTTGTTGAGAATCTTGATGATGTCACCTTCCTTGAGGGACAGTTCTGACCGGTCCCGGGCGCAGTAATCATAGCGGGCTTTGGCTGTGCCGAAATATTTGGTGCTTCCTGCTGTGGAGAGAGGACAAGGGTGAGAAAAGGGTCTGCCTGCCCGCCGTTTGGGGACAGGGCTGGGGAACGTGTGCTCTCGGGAGGGGAACTCCGGGATGGAGGGTTCCTCGATGCTCCTTGGTGCGGATTACTGGGGACCTTCTGCTTTGAGAAGACACAACAAACAAAATTCCCAACATGATCCTTCCAGCCCAGGCAGCATCCAAGGTTACCAAATAAAACCATTTTTGAATTTGGAACGGTTTGGGGCCAGACACAGAGGCTCAAGACTATCATCTCAGCACTTTTTTTTTTTTTTTTTTTTTTTTGGGGTTCCCCCCCA